TATTAGCTTTTAAATCATGAATTATTATTAAAACAACATTCAACTTATATATTTTTGTATTTTTGTTGTGTTTTTATATTTTTCATTGGTAAACATATCATGGATTTAATATTGATAAAAAAAAAGTCCAAGATATGAAAGCTATCTGTTTTTTAATTGTTCGCCGAAATTAAAGAAAACAAACCAATATGTCACTACCAAGTTACATTAAAATACTCATACAAATAAACTAATCACAACAAAAAAATATTATTAGAATGATAAGTATTCAATTACAATACAATATGATTTCATATTAGTCTTTCAGATTTTAAACAATAAAAATAACAAACATTTAGATGTGCTCATCAATTTCCTCGATTAAAACAAAATATTAATGCTTAAAAGTGACACCTAAATTTGGATTAGACACAACCTTATCATTTTCTCCATGTTTGTTTTTCTTTTAGTTTATGACAAAGACTTAGTAAATTACCTTTACCCGCATAGAATATAGCTTCAGTAGGAGTTGGTAGAGCACTTTTTTTCATAATTTCACTTTTTCAAGTTTTTAACAAGCACTTGATTGTTGCTCTTTTCAAGAACAACAAATCTATTGTGTGCAACGAAGATTGCAGAGCCAACAACTCCTCTATTTCCTTCTTTTTAAGTATATTTTATTATGAAGTTTGAAAAGTCTAAATGTGTCCAAATGTAATCAAGATGCCCAAGAAGTGTGAACAAACATATATGGAGTTTATAGTTCCATACTTTGATCATGTAATCATCTCCTGCATGAACCAGTACATGTTTAGTGTAATACAAGAAAGGAGTGAGATAAGTAGCTTGAAAATTCTTTGATTTCTTTGCAAGGGTGGTAACAAACACTACATTTTGTCCAACATTCATCGTTGTTGTGCAAGGATTCACTGTCTAGATAATCTACAATCAGAAATAACAAAAAAAACTAAAAGTAGAAGAAAGGAGTGATATAAGTAGCTTACAATGTAATTTATTATTCGTACAAAAAACTTAGCTTCTGAGATAATCACATTTCTGTCATTGATGCACTTACAACTGTTCTTGAGACCTATGAGGCATTTCATCGAATGGGTGGTGAGCACAAACAACAACTTTCCATTCACGCCTGAATCAGCCGTTCCTGTAAGCCCACTGGTGTTGGTTGATTCAAGAACAAAGTCTGGTAAATCCAATAGAAGAACTCATCATATGGATTTATGGTGGATACCGAGTTATGATTAGGGAGATGGTTTTGCATTTAACGATAGAACCCTTCAATCCATTTATCCTACAATCATCCATACATTTAACAATAAGTTTGAAGAGGAGTAAGCATTCTTGGGATCTTATTTTCAACAAGAAAATCAACTTAACGATGAGGCAAGTTTTAACATTGTGTCCAAAGCCGTCAGAGCGCTATAAAGCCATAATCACACATAATTTTTTTTTCTATAGCAAGAGGTCATTTGATTCTCGAATGCAGTAAAAATTGAAGTTCTAAATACATAATCAGAGGGTGTATGAGAGGTTTAAAACATAAGATTTAGGAATAAATTTAGAAATGTTTACCTTCATTATCATGCTAATGAACTCAAAATTAATCAGGAAACGATGAAATCTTACGTTTTGAATGGATGGTGGCGTTAAAAGAGTGAAACGCGACCTAGAGGGAGCAAGCCCTGACCTCTTTCATGGCGAAGGCAGTGGAGGAGGATAAGAGAGATACATTGATTTTTGCTGATTTAGGGGATACTAAGGGCGTGTTTGTTGTGACGTATTTGGCTGTATTCCTTTGTAATTGGAATTGAATTCCAATTACAAAGTGTGTTTGGCTAGGTTTTTATAAGGAATTGAATTGCTAAATGAAAAAAACATGCCCTTCTCTAGTGTAATCAGATTCCTTGGCTATGAGAGAAGATTTCAAATACAAGGCGTGTTCCATATTTTATTGAGACAAAAATACCCCTTTCCTTTCATCAAAAAAAAGAACGCAACCCTAATTCCAGTTTATTGCTCGCTTTCTTTCCTTCCTTTCGTGAAGGACGACCTCCAATCCAGTGACCGAACTCCAGCGAACGAACTGATCCTTGCCATCTTCGTCATCTTCATTCATCATACAGGTATGTTAATCTGATTTCTTCATCATGTTTTCTATTAATTTCTTCGCCATCTTCATTCAATCTGATTCAGTAATTAGATCCTTCCAATCGGTTCCTTCAAATCATTCCAATCTCCATCACAATGTTCCATTCTGATTTCTTCTTCATGCTTTCTATTTCTTCGTCATCTTCTCTGTTGGCGGGAAAATTAACGCCTCTTGGAAAAAAGTCGGCGACGCCAACTCTTGGAAAAAGTCCATGGGAAATTGTCGACCTTTTTAGTTTTTGTTTTTTATATGATTACGAGATGGGTTTTGAATTCCGGTTAATGAACCTGTTTTTTTATGTTTTTTACTTGAATTTGTTACAGGTTATGTCTCGACTTAGTTTAACATGTAGACGTAGGTTAGGGAGAAGGAAAGTTGTTGTGGCATATTGGAACCAAGTTATGGTATCGGTTGTATGGTTTTTTATTACCTTATGCAATTTGATAGCCAAATACAAAAGCAGTAGACTACGTATCCGGGGTATATCATCACATACCGATCGATACACCATATTGCATAGGTATGCTTATGAGAGTGACACCATGTGTTTATCACAACTTAAGATGAATAGGAGATGTTTTGCAAGATTGTGTTGCATGCTAGAAACATTGTGTTACATGCTAGAAACATTAGGTGGGTTTATCATAACTTATCTAACATGTATTTATTTTGGTTTATCATTTTGGAAGATGTATGAAAAACGCTCTAGAATGGAAGTTATATTTGATTGTTGGGTTATATATGTTTATAATCGGTATTAAATTTGATTGTTGGTTTATTTAGAAGTTTTTTTATGTAAATTATAAAGCAATTTAAAAAAAACAAATAAAGGGTATTATTGTCATTTGACAGAATTTCATTCCAATTCCTTCAACAAATCATCAATCCAAACAGAAAAAAACATGAGAATGGATTTCAATTACAACTCAAAATCTGGCAGCCAAACGCGCAACAGAATTCAATTCCTTCAGAATTCAATTACAATAGAATTCAATTACATTCCTTAGCATTACACCAATCCAAACAACCCCTAAGAATAACTAAGAAAAGGAATCTGGAAGAAGAAAAGGAAATGAAAGTAGTGATTTGGTCCCTTGTATCATCGTCAGTTACACATAGTCCCTGATTTTGTGGGAAAGATTGATGATTTCATTTGATTGAAACCGATTTAAAAGGATAGTATACATGCGCAACAAATTTAACATAAGAGAAGGGTAAACCAGGAAATTCACTTTGGTATTTTGAGCGGGAAAATTCGATGATGGGGTGCTCAGCAACCGCCACGTGGCAATGAATGTACTTATTTATTAGGATAAGAGAAGAGATGTCTGAAACCACCACAATTTTTTTTTCCTTCGGTTTCTATATGATTGATGTCGATTTTGCTGCATTTCTAATTGTTGTTTTTTATACTTTGTACAATAAAGGTATATCACACAATTACTACAACATCCCCAACTTTTGTGACAATTTTTTTTCCTTCGGTTTCTATGTGATTGATGTCGATTGTGCTGCATTTCTAAGTGTTGTTTTTTATACCTTATACAATAAAGGTATATCACACAATTTCTGCAACATCTACATTCATATTCATTCCTGCTTTTCTTATTTTTAACAAAATTTAGAACCATTTAGAAAAGGTAACAAACTTTCAATTTTGTTCATATATTTTCATTGAATTTTTTCGTGCCTGATTTACTCATGAGTTACTTGAAATTGTTTATATTTTACCCAATAACCGGTCATAAGGGTAAAATATAAACAATTTCAAATAATTTAAGAATAAATCAAACACGATGGCAATAAGCAATAGGGCTCTCGGTTTGCAGTGTTAGAAACTGAAGAACAGAACCCGAAGGGATGGCTGATGAGAACAGGCTCGCCGACGAAAAAAAATTCAACACCAAACGTGACCATTCAAGACCAAACGTGACCAAAGAGACGTGTGTGGGGTGGGCGAGTGTATAGGATTCAGCTATATATCGTTCATCTATTATGATTGTTTAGAACCCATTTTTATTTTTTTATTTTTCGTAAAATCAAAACGAATATCGTTCATCTCTTCTGGTTGTTTAGGACCCTTTTTTTCGTACGAACCCTCAAAACGCCCCGGATATGACAATAGTTTTTCTTAAATTAATTAAATTAAGAATATACGTTATGTAAATTTCAGTATTTCACATTCTCCAACCTCTCTTTGTTCCTACCATAACAAATGAAAATTAAATTAAGCACCACAAAGGAAAAGACCCACAAAAACTATCTGTTCTTAGAAAATTCGAAGATTATAAGACCGTCTAATAATATTAACGAACGAATATAATTTAGTAAGACAGACCGGTTCAACCCAATCGCGGAACCGACACCAGTCCAAAAGAGACGAGCCTACACCTAGTTCAAACAGGGAACCGGCTTCACCCAAATTTGCTCCAGAACAGGTCCCGATCCGTCCACATAGCGGCAGAGACCAACTCCAACCACCGCAAAGCCAACCGCTGACCACTTCAGTAAATCAATATTGTCGCAATATGCCAATATATGTCGAGTCATTGATGGCTGTCGTTGGTTTAATTATTGCTTCTTTCCTCAAAAACATGTTCAAAAAAAATCAACCCAAAAACAAAAACGAAGATATTAACATCTATATGAGTACATTATAAAACCGTAGGAGTACATTATAAAATCGTTGGTTAAAGGACTACCGCCATGTATGATGCATGCACGACGGAAGTACACAACAAAATTACCAACAATATCATGACCTACTATACTACGTACTTTACAGGCACACAAGATCAACTTGCAAACAAACAGCTAGCTATATAACGTTCTATAAACAAACACTACATATCGATTATTTATCTTCATCAGCCTTTGAGGTCTTGTTGCTGTACTTGGATTCATCGAGCGGAATTCCTTCCTCCTCCGCACGTTCACCGCCTGACTTCTCTTCGGTGCTCAAGCCACCCTTTTTACCCATCTCCTTGTAACCTTCCGTCCCCAGTTGCTCCCTCCTCGTTTGTCCTCCCTTGCTCCTCCCTAAAACACCACCATTATATTCATGAATGATCAAATTGTAAGGAAGTTATGTACGTACTACATGTGAAATGATGAAAAGCAAAATAAAGATATACCTTCAGCAAGGCGTTCCTGGGCCTCCAGACTTTTTCCACGAGTACCACCGGGAACGACGGTCTCGCCTTCCGCAGCCCGTTTGTCGAGCTCCTTTTTCTCCTGTTCGGAGACTTGGTCGGAGATCTTGCGTCCTTGTTGCTGTGATGCCATTTTGTTTCTACTTTTTCGATTGAAGATATAGTTTTTTGGTGCAGTATTATATTGAACGATGGAGTGTAATACGACATGAGTGGAAATATATATACTGTGTAGAAGAGAGATGATAATTGACATGCATGTAGCCACGTGGTATAATGACGTGGTGGGAGGTCAATGAAGAGGGTCTGGGACGTGTATTTTGTTTGGAACCACACATCTCCCCGTTGAGACGCGTGTCTGAATCTTAAGTAGGTCGACTGTAGCTATCTCATCCCTGCGATTGTTATTAAAGTGTCGCTGTGAATATGTTTCGAGTCTTTCTTCTTCTATCTTTAGTAGCATATTCGTGTTATTAAGCTAATGTTTTCCAGAAACATTGTTTTGTCGGTAAATTTATCAAACTGTGAAAAATTAATAGTCATTTAGAAAATAACCTTATATTTTAATACAAGTATACCTTTTAGCTATTTGATATGGATGCAAATAAGATTATTTACCATTTTGTTCGTTGATGACTTGATGTTGTTATGTTGTGCATCCTTCTTTTATTCCTAACTTTTGATGTTTATTTGATGTGAATCGATTTGGTGCTTCCTTGTTGTATCTTATATTGTTCTTTTGAAAATGCAGCAGCTTGCCAAGGAAGATGCTCAAAGGATGACATAAGAGCCCTTCATCATCTATAGTTACTAGTTTGGAAAAGTTTTTGTTTAGAAACATTTGTTCTTAAGTGGCTATTTATTTTAAATTCATGAAGGCAAAATACATGTTCTTGATTACGCACAGTTGATTCAATTTGATTTTGTTACCATCATATGTTAAACAAGTAGATGGTGTTCAATTGATCATATAAACAAGTAGATGGTGTTCAATTGATCATAATGTTGATTAAATATAGATACCTTTAACGTAAAATCATCATGATATGTACATATATTATGTTAATAGTCCGTTATAAATATGAGACTTCATTCACACTCATTTTGTGAGAGTTGGATTCTATAAGTTTTTGTTTATAAATGTCTTACACACTTTTGTTTATATTCTGTTTATATATGTGTCGGGTAGTTGGGTTTGTCATACGGAGCAAACATGTTCCATATGGGCATTATTTTATTATCTCGCCCTGGGTAGGCAAAACTAACGGACCGGCCCTGTTCGTGTCCGGTTAATATGTATGAACATGAGAAGAAAAATAAAATGAATTATGGCAAATAACATTACAATATTACATAGACAAAATATTTGATCTCGTTGGTGTTATTTGGTACGATCTAAGTTAAAGAAAGAATGAAGTGATTTATTTATATAAATAAAAATAAATTATTTCTTTTGCTTGATTAACAAATTGTATGATTCCTAATGACTAATGTTATGACATGGAAAATTAATTAGGCTATAAATATTAAAATTTATAGAGATTTTATAGAGAATATTATACTAAAGTAAACTCTATTATGATTATATATTATTATTCTATCTTAATACAACTTTATTATTTTTTTCTAAAAAATATTTACTTAAAACTAAGAATAAATTATATTTTTGGACGAACTCCATAAAAAGTAGTAAGCTAAATATATTTTTTTGGCATTATGTTTTTCTTTTGTCTTAATTAAAATTCATTGTTTACCAATTTGTTTTAATGTTCATCATTTATTATGTCACTAGTTGACAACTGGCATGACAATCTTTGAAGATGTGATAGTTAACATTGCATGTTGGCACAACATTCTTAATGACATCACACTCTCGGTGTAAAAATTGAAAAAAAATTTAAAATATATTGTGTAACGCCAAGTTTCTAGTATGTCTCTTTTAAGTAAATTAATATTCGGATTTTGGAATTCTGGTGGCTACGATGTGGTGATGGAGTCCCACGACGTGGTCAAGGTCAATAATTGGATGCAGACTAAGTTAGTGCCACAACGTGGCGATTTGTTCGTCACAGCGTTGTCGTTGTTTGATGACAAACCCTAATATGGGGTTTGTGCCCCTATTTAAGGGATGTGATGGGTATGTTGCCCACACTCAGCCTTAAACACTCTCCGTCAACCCCCAAAGCAAACCATAGCCTCCATTGCTAACTATTGAGTTTTTGTGGTGTTTTGAAGAAGAAGGTGCCCTTGAGCTTTGTTTAAGCAAGCAAATCTCCCCATCCACCTTGTAGACGTTTTCTGGACTTTTGTAAGTCCTCAAGATCCGATTTTTATGTTACTTGTCTATAGATCTAGCCCTTTTGTCCCTTAGTCTTCATGGTGTGGGAATTTGGAAGGTTGGATCCTATAACGTTGGCAACTTTATGGATCCTTGTGGTCATCTTAGTGTCATATGTTCCAGATCTGAGGATCTTTGGATTTTTGATTCCATGCCCAAGCTTTGAGTTCCTTATTGCCATATTTTTTTACCTAAAATGGAAGGGGCGTGCATTGGACATGCATGTCCATAAAGCTATAATTTTATGGCCCATTTGGTGGAAGAAACCCTTCTGGAAACTTTGGAAGAGTAACTCTAGTGATTAGGTGCTTAATGGGTGTTTGCATGCCTTTAGATACCTTTAAGGATTTAGTGTTTGGGATCTTGTCTTATTGAGGTGTCTTAATGGATAAAGTTGGAAAATTTATCCATCAAGACCATAGGAAGGGCTAGATCTAAGCTTTAGAGCTCTTGGAGTTGTAGGAAAATGGCTTAATGGGTTAAGTTGTCCAGAACAGTCCCCACGGCGTGGCCTTATGTTGCCACGACGTGGCGATTGGGTAAGAACCCGTCTGTTTCGTCGTTTCGCTACCATGACGTGGCCAAGGATGGCCACGACGTGGCGACCAACTGAATGTTAACCTTTGACTTTTTGACCGTTGACTTTGACCAAGTTTGGATTTAGGTCAAATCGAGTAATTTAAGTTGTAGATTGAGGCTTGGTTCCTGTTTGTTGTTTAGGTGACCTGTAGATCCGGTAATTGGAGCGTTGATCAGTTCAACTATTTTCGAGACTTTGAGGCGAGTTTTCCTCACTGTACTCGTGGGTCGAAGGCACTAATGTCAGCCCACCAGTTTGAGTTACGCATCCTTTTATATAGGATGTTGATATGCTTTAGTGTTCTGTTAGATTTGTAGATCTATATGATTACATGTACTTACTGGTTATTTTTATTTGTTGCATATGTCGACATAGTGTGGGTGGGTTGAGGTTTTACCACTCTGTGCTGTAAGCCAACAAACTCGGGGCAATCCAGTCTGATAAGTGTGGGGCTAGGCAATCCAGGACAATGACTGTAGGTCGGGAGTAATCATGATTGTGGAACCAGTATGAATACATGTATTCACGTACTTATACTTTGACCAACCTTTCCATTAAACTAATTGGATACCTAGAAACCGCTAAATGCTCTCATTTTGGGTCAAGTCAACTTAAACATACATGGTCTGACACGGTGGCTCTGTTGCAGCAGGTGGTCGAAATCACCAAGGTAGAAGAAGATATGAATGCCAAGAATCCATCATTATCACTTCTTCCCTCTTCTTACCACCATCGTTGTTTCTCCATTCTACGACTCTCTGTTGTGTTGTTGAAACCCTAACACCCTAAAAATAAAGTCCTACATTCTTGGTTTTGAGTTTGATGATGGTTTAGGGGTTGGATGCATGAAACCCACCATCATTGTTGGTTTTCCGGTTACTAATGGATTTCATCTTGTCAGCGGGTTGGATTAAACGAATTTGTGAAGAATTCCATCACATAGCAATCAAAATGATTAATAATGAGTGAACATTTAACTAAATTATTTGGAATTCAAATGCATACACTAGAGTACTCTTCATATCCTTTAGTTTATTAAATATTAATTTTAAATAGAAAAAAATAAAAGTTAATAAAATATTCAATAAAGTATAATAATAATTTTAGACCAATTTTGAAAAATATGAAACCACAAAGACTAAATACTTAGAGTATCCACACTACAAGTAATATACGAGTTGAATAGGGTGATAACTATAATTTAATAAGATTTGAATGAAGTGTGGGTGATGACATGAAATAAAGTTGTATGAAGATTGAATGGTTCAATACAAGGATTGTGCATTGGCTTCTCTTCGTAACAAGCTTCCGGATATTGACCTTAGCATTTTTACTACTAAATACACCGCCCCCCCTAAATCCCAGAATACACTGCCGGGTGCCCTTTTTGGTAAAATTGTCCAAGATATGGAAGTGCATCTCGACATGACAGCTCGGCAGAAAGCAGTTTTCCAGTGCTTACGTGCACCACATGCTTAAGATTTTCTTCTAGCTATCCCTATAGATGGGCTTGGCCAACATATGTCTCTTGTGGAGTATCGTACTATCCTCAAATATCGACTCATGATTCCAAGCTGATGAGATATGTCCAGTGTGTCGCAAGGCATGTTTGGACTTTTGTGGAGAGCATGTAGTTCACTGTAAAGAACTCTCGGGGTTCAAATACAAGCACAATATGGTTAGGGATGTTTTGTTTGACATATTTAAGCGTATCACGGTTTCCGCCAAGAAAGAGGCACCTGTGAATTTCTTGACTGCCCCACCAGAAGGAAGGTCAACCCTTAGACCGGCTGGCATTTTGATTTTTGGATGGGTCGGAGGGAAACATGCATGTGTGGACCTTATAGGAGTATCTCCTCTCGTGGGCTTAAGGGCTGGGGGTTTCACGGCGGGACAAACTGCTTTAAAAGCTGCTACAGGCACAGTCACCAAACATGAGAAATCGTGCATGGAATCAACACGTGTTCATACCATTTGCATTTGATACGTTTGGTTTCCTCGTGTTGGATGCGGTGAAACTTCTTAATAGAGTACAACGGATCATGCATAGCAATGTTATATCTCCTCAATCTGTGGATGTAGTCTTTAAAAGTATTGGAAATAAATCACCTATGTAAATTAGTTTATTTGTTTTCTATATTTACTTATTAGATACCTTGTATATATCCTTGTAATATTGTATATAAGCGTTATTAGTAAATCAATAAAATCATTG